TTCTTGCATTAGCACCCTGTCCCTGAGTAGGATTTTGTTTCTTTTGAGCCCCTCCTAGCTAAGACCGTAACTTTAAAAAAAGTAATTTACCGTGTTGGTGCCTTTAACATTATTTGGGATCATTCTGGTTGCTAAAGCAACATAAGCTGAAATTAAATCTTTCCCTTTTGCATTCCACCCCTTCTAATTTTTCTCCATGCGATGAAGTCATCATAATCATGTACCTTTGATCTTGCAGTCATCTGTGACACTAGACTAAGATATCACAAGTGAAAAATTACAACTTCACAGAATGAAAGAAAAAGAAAATTAAGCTTCATAAAGCAGGATTTTGTTTTAAACAAAAAAAAAAAAAAAAAAAAAGGAAAGAAAAAATATTTCCAGTTCTTACAAAATAAATGTGCAAGCTGCATGGAAGCAACATGGAAGTTGGAATCATTATTTGAAAAATCATATTTAAAAGCCTTGGTAACTCTTTTGAGACTTCTCTTGACTCTTGGGGGAGAGAGGGCAAGCGTAAATATTTTAATCACCAACTACAAAATATTTTAACTAAATATAGAGTAACTGTACTTGAAGGCTCTTGTGCTTCTGTACTATTCTCTTCTTTGTTTCCCTTTTCTGCTTGTACAGGCTGTTCCACCACCAAACTTTGAGATGCCAGTTTCTATCCCAGTTTCCAACCACAACAGTTTGGTATACAGTAACCCAGTCAGCTCACTGGGAAACCCCAACCTTTTGCCGCTGGCTCATCCTTCTTTGCAAAGAAATAGCATGTCTCCTGGCGTGACACATCGGCCTCCAAGTGCAGGTAACACAGGTAGGCTCTGTTCAGTCCCATCCTTTTAAATGCTCTTTTATCAGCTGCTTATGTACCTTAGGTCACTTTAAACTGTACTCTGAGAAACAAGAATTCCATTTTTATCAGCTGTAACAGTTTGTCCAAAATTGCTGTGTTAAAAAATCAAAAGAAGGGACAAAGGGGTTTCTATTCCCAATTTAGAAAATAAACAAAAAAAAGTTCTATAAAAAGCTGAATATTGACTAAGATTAAATGAAATCAATAAAGGATAAAAGGGCAGACAGTTTGCTGTTTCATAAAAAGGCGGCTTGTCTACTTAATTCATGCAAGACCTCACTATACCATAAAGCTTAAGGGAGCAGGGGAGAAAATGTAGACAACGTTAACAAGATGAAGCAAGTAAAATAGGACACTAGTTGCTTAAATCATCAGTCTAGAGGCTAAATGAACAATTTATTATTATTTATGCATTCAGAAGTTCCTAGATGGGTAAATGTTAGTTGAGCTCTGTACTTGAGTGCCTTGTATAGCAAGAGGCTGTCCTTTGCTCTGATGATGAAGACTCACCTCTGAATAGGATAATGGGGATTAAGTTCATTCAGTCTGTCTGGCTGAAGCCACATCAAGATCCTTAATACCAGGCTCAAAGAACCATCTGAGGTCCCCAAGTGCAAAGAGAAGTTTTAGAAATCCTTAGAGTGAATGTCTGTGAAAGGCTGAGGAAATTAAAATGAAAAGCTATGTAAATTTATATGATAGCTTCTGAGTTGCATTCTCGTCCAATCTTGTGTGGAAGCCTCTGCTTTTCTGACTGATACTGAACTAAAGATGGTTTTAAAATACTGTACTACTACTATACTTAGCTTCCAAATATAATTGATTTTTCATATGCTGTGGAAGTATGAAAATAAAATAATGAAAAGTTGTGTACTAAATATTTTGTTTGTCCTTGAAAGGTAAATGTCTCATACGGGTAGTATTAAACATTACAATTTTGATTATGGGTCTGATCTGATGCTTGCTGAAGTCAGAGGCAAACAGTGGTGGGTACTGGAGCAGGCCATTTGAAGTTAGAGAAAACATTTTGAAAATTTACCTGTTATAATTTATTGTACTCATTTGCAGTATTTCATTTCAACCCCTTAGGTGGTCTGATGGGTGGGGACCTTGCAACCGGTGCAGGCACCAGTGCAGGTAAAGAGAAAAGAATTTATATTTATTTTTCTAAGTGAACAAAGCACTTCCTTCAAAGGCTGAGTCCTAAAATAGCTCCATACTGGAGGTGGGATATTAGAAAGTGATCGACATTGGCTTATTTCCCCCAACTGAGGGGTGGTGAGTTGGTATTTGTGCTTCTTTTATTAGTAGGAAGAGGCTTGTTTTCAGCACTGTCAAAAATCTTGCACCTCAACAAATTCCACAGATACAAATGTCTGTTTTCCTTCACATTAGCCTTTCCGTAAAAGCTTCTGGGTCCATTGCATAGCCCTGTTCAGGCAAAATTCTTGCTGAGCCCTGTGTCAAAAACCCTGATCCTTTTTAAGTCAGATGGAGTTTTTCCATTGACTTTAGTGGAATTGTGGTGTCATTTTATGAATTTAAGCTTGAATAAAGATTTCAATATTGGGTCTATTTCATTAGACTTCCATCTACTGAGCCACAGATTTGATTTCAAGCCCCTGCTTTAAGACCATTGCTAGTCAGCAAAATCTGTTAGCATTTACTTAAATAATCAGTAATTAACTTAAGCTTAGTTTTACTTAAGTGCTTTGGTACACAATAGGGAAAGGATTTTCAAAATACCCATGAAGAGAAAAAGATTAGTCCCTTTAGTCCTGCTCCCACAGAACTAATGAGAACTGTACTTGCTCAGGTCTGTGTTATCAAAGTGATGTTGTCAGAGTACTCCCCTTTGCTCAGTAAACTCAGTGGTTTGTTAGCAATGTCATCAATGTTGCATTATTACAAACATGGATTACAAAAGACAATGGCAAGATTACTGTTTCAGTTTGAGAAGTAAACACGTATGATCGAAGAAAATAAGCTGAGTGGTAAAACATGGAGCACGTCCGGTTTTACTGGGTTAACTGCTCTCAGAAAGAACTGTATGGAAAAATAAGTTGTGTACTATAAACCAAGGCTGATACATATGCCAATTCTGACATGGTCTTGTAAAATTACTTATGAAGAAATTCTGCATATAGCGATCTTTTCTTTCTTGGCTCTTCTCGGCGTGCTTTTGACCCCCCCCCCCCCTTTTATCTTCATGCACAGATAAGTCACAGATGTTTGTGTAACGCTTTTGTAGTAAAATTGAAACTGTACAGCATTGTATCAGAAAGGCACTTTAAATGCACGCTGAAGCTTTGAGGCATCAATTTTTATTAATTTAGGAGTAGGGAAGGCAGACCACTATTGCTCTCCTTTGTTCTCAAAAAAAAAGAAAGCATGTTACAGTTTTGTTAATTATCTTTTGTTAGCCTGTGGAACACAGCTAAAGAAAGATTCTTTCTGGTGGTGTTCACATTTCATCATGCGTAGTAGAAGCTTCAGGAACAGCAGCGGAGGGACAGATAGGAAATTGATTGCCCTATTAAGGGGCTCCCTCTTCTGGCATATTAAGAAATATCATTGCCTCGTTACTGCTTTCCCAGTTCCTCTGTAAAGACACTGGAAAGCAATTAGTAAAGAAGGCAATGTTTTCTTTTAAAAGGCGCACATACTAAAATAAAACTTCCTCTACACATGCATTTGGCTTAATAATCCTTGTGCTTAATAAAATCTGTATATCAATATGCCACATGAAAATGTATATTCTTTCTATTTTTTCTTGGAAATACATTAAAAGCATATATAAACACAGGAAGAAGAATAGCTTTATTATTTACTCACAAATTACGAATTTGTATTTCCTGGGTGCAGTGTTACGCATTAAGCTCTCAAGCAATGTATCTTTGGAGTAGGCAATTGATTTGAGGGGCATATATATGAGGAGCATTGCTAGGAATGCATCATAAATATTTAATCATATGAATAGTCTTTGTTCTTTATCTGGCAATAAGAGCTTTAAACACCATTGAAGAAGTGTTTTCTAAACTCTTAAATGCAGAGCAGTAGGAAGAATTTTATACAGGGCTGAAGGAAGATGAAAAGGTCATGATAAGGTTGAATCCTCTGTCTTAGTTGTATCATTCTACAATGGAACTATTTTGGACAGTCCTCTTTCTTCAGAGTGCAGAAGAATAAACATCAAAAGTTCTCTTTGTTCATCATTCTTCACAGTAAAACAGAGACCTCTGTGTTCTTTTCTATTTGGCATCTTAGAAGCTGGTAGCATGATCATGTGGTTTAATCTGTTGAGGTTCATATTTATGGCCAAATTAGAAGATTATGAATTTGCATTTTTCCGCAGTGTCCAAAAATAACGTATATTCAAGATAACAAACTCCAGGAAGAAGAGTCTAAAGAGTTTCATTTCTGACATTGTAAAATTAAAGCACTTTTGATTGCTAACGTCAGGTCTCAGTCTCTGGACTACTTTAACGTATTACATTATAACAAATTACATTATAACTGCAATATCAGAAATGGAAAAAGATTAGTTAAGCCTGTGTTTTGAGAAGTATGTTATTTTGTTGGTTTGGATTATTTCAAGTAATAAGCCTGAAATCATCCACAATTTATCTTGGGAGTCAACTCAAGACGTAAAATACCTTCAGTGGGGTGTTTTTAAGTTAAACCAGGGTTATCTCAGGTTTGTAAAAGTAAATTTGTTCTTAGCCAAACACTGATTGGATATTTTCTATCATGTGATAGTAGCAACTGCCAGCAACATCGGAGTGAACTTCACATTTAGTGTAGTTGATATATTATAAATACAGCAATGTCTTTGGCATTATCCTCTCAAACCAGAGGCTGTTGACTGAAAGAGGGAACAAGAACTTTTTGGACCCAAGTCAGAATGGTCTCAAACCATACTAGCTTACCTTGTAACTAATATGAAGACTAAGTGACGTGTTACCTGTTTACATAATAGACTATGTGTAGTTCTTTTAATTTTTAGGGGCCATACTCTTTAAGAAAACCACTTAATAGTAACTTGACTAAAAACAAATAATGTCTACAAAGTTTTAACACTGTAAATTATCTGAACTCAAGTTTTATTCAGTGGCTCAAATTTATGTTGAAAGCCTGATGAAAGATTGAAACTTCAAAAATATTTCAATAGTTTTAAAATCAAAATATAAGAGTATTGGGGGATGTCTTTCTTTGCATCTGTACTTTAGACTTCTGATTTTCAAACTAAGTTATATTTTTATATTGAGGTTTATTTTTCATTTTTATATGGTTTACATGGAATAAACCCATGTAAATCAATATAATTTCTCTATATTTTAAACCACTATAAATAAAATAAAAGGAAAAATTCAATCTCAACCTATAAATCCAGGATGGGTATAATAAAAAAAAAATATGCTTGCTTTAATTGTTTATTCACTTCCTGTAATTCCACTATTTGATTTTTGTACTGCCTGCATCTTAACATTAATGTTAAGCTAAAGGAGCAAGTTATTCAAAAGTACTTGGGACTGACTCTACAAAAGCTGTCAGAGGGGCTAAGTGCTTGTTCTCTTTAAATCAAGCATTCTCAAATGACCTTTAAACATGTTCTTTAAAATCATTAGGAACTGAAAAGATCAGTAATGCATTTTGAAAAATTCATCCCATGTCTTTTTAATAACTGAATCCTGTCTTTACCTAAAAATCAGCAGCTAGTCATTTACTTCTGGAAATTAACCACAAGCTAACAGTTGCCTTCTCATCTTCTGAGGGCTGAGGTTCTTGATCAGCTAGCCAATATCATAATTTGCTAGTGCTTTCCTGCTTCTTTTTCTTTTCTTGGTCACGTACTGACTGTGGGTGAATGTATTTCAAGACACATGAGATAATAGTAGGAGGTTTTTAATTTGTAAGCCCTCAGAGCAGAGGCAATGGGGATTGTATCTTCTCAAAAAAGAAGATTCCCAGACCACAGTTTATGGGCAACCTTCTAGGACTGAGTTTGCCAGGGAGAGCATGATAAGTTATTGCCCTTCCCTTGTTACTTGACGAGTGCAGTCGCCCACAGGCCTCTGATCCAAAGATTGGGCAAGATGCGGTACAAAAGTATAGTAAATATTAGTTCCTGTCCACGGAAGTTTACAGTCCAAAAGAAAGAACATGCAGTCATTCATAACAGAGTTCATGATGCAATAGTGCCAAATCCAAACAATAAGAAATCATAAATTGGTAGGTTGACTTAAAACCATGGAGGGGATAAGAAATTAAAAACACAACAGCTCTTCTTTTCTCTTTTTTCTACTCATATTATGCCATTAAGTCTTCCTTTTCCAAAGCTTCCTCCATATTAAGGAGGATATATACTTTTTTTTTCAGTGTTTTAAGGGAAGTACCTACAGGTAGGAGATTTGTGATGAAGCAGGAAGAACGCTAGAACTTGACTGGCAGCTCTAATACATAGAATGGAGGAAATAGACTCTCTAACAGTACCTGAAATTTCATATCTGTGTAGGCAGTCAACACAGGCATTTCCAAAATTAAGTCCTATTTCTGCCCTAAGCAACTGATCTGTTTTATACAGCTTATTCAGACTCTTTTCATACATGTAAAAATCACATCAGGGAAACTTTGAGAATGAGTCTGAAAGTATAGATGCTGCTGTCCATGTAAAAAAAAAAATCTTGCAATGGGTGTTGTATGCAAAGGTTGGATGAATGTATTTTCAGCTAACTCATGTGACCTCTTACCACGTAAGCTCATTCTGGGTAGACCTCAATGCAAATCTGTGAAAATTTAGCCTTTATTAAGTTTCCATCAGTTGTGTAAGTGTTGACTTAGTAATTTATTTAGTTATTCTCTGAGATAGTTATTCTCTGTGTCATCATCTCTCTAATCAACAGTGTCTCAATATTTGTATTTATAAAAAGACGGCTTGAAAGGATTCAAAGGGAAAAAGCCCTAAATTCACATGTAATGAGCAGTTGAGTCATACAAACTGTGGTTCTTTGTAAGTGGGATTTTAAAGACAGGCATGATTGACTTCTTTTCGTTTATGACAAGCAGTTTCAAATGTTCCTCAAGAATAATTTGGATTCTTTATATAAAATCCTTTTCCTAGTGAAGTCTGGCAGAAT